GGACTAAATAAAGGGTTCTCAATCCAAATTAGGGGTTTTTAGACTTTTTGTCTGTCTGTCTGTCTTTCTGTCTGTCTATTCCGCATTCACGGAAAAATTACTGAACCGTTTTACATGAAATTTTGTATGTAGGTAGTGAGTAACCCGGGGCAACTTATAGGCTACTTTTTATCCGATTACGGAACTTCAAAAAGGAAGGTTAAGTAATTATTTCCTTTAGATATAAATTTTCTATTATATCTTAGTTAAAGGCAGATGACGGGTGTTTTTCAAATAAATACCACATTTGTAAATAAAATTTAATATATAGTTATAATATTGGTAAATTAATTTGAAACTACACGAATTTTGTTTTCAAAACAGCGCCATCTATCATCAAATGGAAAAAATAGTATATTTTGCCTTTTACTAATAAATGAAATAATATAACTTACATTTATATGATTTAATGATCAGATTTTTAAAATTATTAAAAGATTCTAACTTTTAGTTTTTATAATTTTTGTTATTTTATTTTAAAAGTGTAATAATTTCAATAGATAATAGTGACGTCTATCAAAAATATGAAAATTGATAAGGTATCTATTTCAGTTACTAATATAAATACGAGTATGTAAAGTGATTAAAACTGGATTGTTTGCAATTGCAAAATTATAGTTTTATTAAAGAGATTTTTATATATGTCGTGGCCAGATCGTAGAATTGATCATATATCATAAAGTAGTCTATCAGTTCGTGAAATGGTGTGGTCATTTCATGATATGTAATTGTTATCCATGTCATTTTTTTATAGGATAAACGAGCATGCGGCTCACCTGATGGTAAGTGACTACCGCCGCCCATAAACAACCGCAACACCAGTGGAACCAGGGGAATTGCAGATGCGTTGGCAGCTTTTTAAAAAGGAGTAGGCTCTTTTCTTGAAGGTCCCTAAGTCGTATCGGTCCGGAAAAATCGCTGGCGGTAAACTATTCCACAAGGAAGTTGTGCGAGGAAGAAAACTTCTTCTAAATCGCACAGTGGTGGACCGCCAATCATCCAGATGGTGTGGATGGTATCGGGAGTTCTGCCGCAATGTGTGTTCGTGTAATTTGGCGGCTGGGATTAATCCGAACAATTCCTCAGAGCACTCCCCATGGAAAATGCGAAAGAAAATGCAGAGGTGCAACATCTCTTCGCAGCGCCAATGAATCGAGCCGATCGGAAAGGACTCGGTCATCGACGAGCCGCTCTGCGCTGGATGCGGTCAAGTGGAAGGAGCTGGCACTGGGGAGCCCCAGCCCAGAGATGGGAACAGAATTCCATGTGAGGCCGAGCCTGCGCCTTGTAAAGTTGCAGGCGTCATGATATAGCTTGACCAAATCAATGAATAGAAATCGTTTGAAGATATTAATAACTAAACACAACGTTGCTATTTCATAATATGGTCATATGAGGATATAATTAAATCGTTTTTCACCGCTAGCGGCGCTGATAGCGTATTTTTTAACAGAAACAAACCTTTTAAGAGAATTGAGATCACTTTATCCTTTATTGATATAATAAATGTTCGTTTCTATTGCTGATATTACTAGATGGTATAGTTTTGGTTTAGCTTTCATTATTTCATCTAATATTAGCGCCACCTACTTACTTATAAATAAACAAAAATGGCAAGTCATTGATAAAATTAAATAATAAAATGCTACTGAATATACGATGTAAATAATTGAATCCTTTACAATACATTCATCCCGCGTTGGAATCAGCGCAGCGAACACAATTTTGGCCAAAAACTCTTCAGCCTGTGCCCAGTAGTTACATGTATGTAAGCTGCTACTTTTTTACCTTTCATGAGGCAATATATGTAGTTTTTATTTCATTCGTGTTTTCGGGTATGTTACTTTTTTTTTAATATTCAGAAATTAAAAATGAGTAGAACTCATTATCGTCAGCCTATCAAAAGTCCACTGAAATGAACATAGGCCTCCCCCATAAATTGTCAAGTAGCTGGATATTTGCTATAGTTGCCACGCCTGGTAGCGGGGATGGTAAACGCAACTATTATTATTTTGATCTGTTGTCAAGAAGATGATGCAGCCCATCCCATCTCCAGTTTGTTTTCCTATGTCGCCTCTTACGACGGGACGATATGAGGTGGTGGATTTTCTTTCACCGCCACAACAGGGCGAACATTTTTCTACTCCCGTTCAAGAGTATAGTGCTTCTCACGTTCACTGTGAATAAAATTAATAAGGAATAAAACTAATGTTAAGGATTTTATCGCGTTTAATTTTAACTTTTTAAATTTCCGATGTTTTGGGCACTTTGCAGCACCCATGGTCACGGGAGGGGCGAGAGAACTGAGGTTTGACGACCTGATGTCATAGTTAAAATAGAATAGAATAAATGCAGTAGTAGTTTGAATTTAACTTTATTAATTATGGGGTCCTTAGCAGATGGTAGCACTCAACAATCTTCCCTATTAAAATTAGGATATTTTTAATTCAATAGCCTCGCGAATCATCATTAGTAGGATTCGGTGTTCTATTGCAAGGATTTGTTGTCTATCAGATCCGATATAATGGTTGGGACGATTCTAAACATTTTGACATACTTTAGACTTTCCAGAGCTTCGGTGCTTCACATCAACGATATGTTCTTTTACTCGGAACTTTCATCCAAGATGCGTAAAAAACCCGTGACATTAGTTTTGATCCATGTGTAGTATTCTTTATTATAGATCTGTATTTATGAAATTTTCAAGTCTACTTGAAGTAAAGAAAAAACATCTCCGTCTATTTTATGGTGCCAATCAATATTAAATAGGACCAATGATATGAATAAAATGTCTCAAATAAACATTATATTACTTTGTTAAATCTAAATTAACTTTAACACTGAAGAAATGTAAAGAGTAAAATGTAAATAATAATACGTTTCGATTTCAAGACTATTTACCTTTCTTACGGATACATCGGAATCGGAAGACACGGCCTATATAAAAAATAGTAGGTGTTTCTAGACATAATATATATTCACGTGTTTCTGTAGCATGTTACCAATCATCTACGTCTAATAGTATTTTAGAATGAAAAAAAAATCTGACAGACGTAGAGACATAGACACCGAGAGACTCTAAAAGTGATCAAATTTTTCTAACTTTGGCACTGAACAGCATTTAATGATGTTCTTAAATTCTTATGCACGCGAGCGAAGCCGCGGGTAAAAAGCTAGTTCAATATAAATTATTAAGGATAACTCAAAATCTACTAGTCAACCTTGATCAAATTTATAGGGAACCACATGAGAAGCACCAGCTTTCAAATAAAAAAAGAATCATCGAAATCAGTTCAACTTGAAAAAAGTTATGAGGTAATACACATTAAAAAATACAGTCAAATTGAGTACCTCCTCCTTTTTGAAGTTGGTTAAAAAAGGGAAAAATACATAAAATGTTACGTTAAAGAAGGTAATAATACTCAAGCCGGGTGATGTTTATGGACCTAATGCAGTGTTAGTAAGAGTAGCACAAAGATGGTTCAAGCGTTTTCAGTCTGAGAATTTTGATGTCAAAAATCCCTCTGGCCTGTGTAGTCTTTCATCATGATAATGCCAGACCACCCACATCTTTGGCCTTTCTGCAAAAATTGAGAGAGCTTGATTGGGAAGTGTTAATTTTAATCCACCATATGTTCTTGACCTTGCACCCTCAGATTTGCACCTGCTTCGGTCTCTTTAGAATTATTTGGGTAGAGTTAGGTTAACATCAAGGACTGTCAAAACTACTTGTTGCACATTTTTGATAATAAATCCCAAGTTTTCTACAGCAACAGGATTATGTCACTACCCACAAGATGGCAACAAGTTATAGAACAAAATAGCACATATATAATTAAAAGTAATAATTAAACTTTTAAAAAAATATGTCTTGAATTTGTATAAAATACGGAAGTAAAATAGCATCTATAAACCAGGTTTGTAAATAATGGTATCATCTACATCGATATTTCCAGGTTTGATAAAAAGAAAACAGAATATACGTAATATTATATATTGTTGCAAATAGTTATAAAATCGGGCTACATTTATAATTTTGATAAGTTGGCTAATAAAATCATTCATTTCAAGTGTCAAGATCAGTATTAAGTAGGAAGTAAGATTTTAATTTTGTTTTAATATTTTCTTATGTAATGTTATTATGTAAATTACAGGGTAAGTTGTTTATTAATCCATGAACTAAATAAGTAGCTGATAGTTTGCCGTGGATGTTACTAGCACAGGTAGAATAAAAGCAGTTTTGTATGACTGCTCATGTGTATATGAAATCTATAATTTTTTCAGTCAATTTTTCATTGACTGAAATAATTAAACATTTACATTTACATTAAAGAATTGTTCTTTGAGTAGGCTTTATTTAAATTGTGTATAAATGGGTAAAGTTTACTTTAACTTAATTTCTTAGAAATAATTTGTTTAAGTACTATATTTCATTGAAATTGAAAAACAGAGAGGCTAAAAGTATAGTTATATAATATTGCTGATAAATAAAAACTTTTAACATTGCAGGTCTTTATTTTTTAAAACTAATTCTGCATAAGTCAACTATATACTTCTACAGTATGAATTACATAATTATATTTTAACTAAAAACATCATGATTCTAACTTATGTATATCTATTTATAATATTTCATAAAAGGAAATCATTTTTTTTTTGGTTCTTTTGAAAAGTTATTTTATTGTTAGACAAGTGACAATATGCAAAAAGGATAAACAATACATGAAATTTAAATTTAGACTCTAGAATTGAGATATTGAGTTCAAGACAAAAAAAAAATTATTCAAAACCAGTGTTTGTTTACATCAATATCCTATCTAAACCGAGGGGTTCCAAAATAATACACATAACAAATTAGGAATTGAAATTGGGCAACATAAGAGGTGACTAATGGACCTAGTAACTTATGAAACACAATTGTAAATATAATCTTACTTAAATTGTATAAAGAAAATTACAGATTACAGTTTTACTTTATCATTATAAATAGCATCATGTAATTCATATAAGTTTCCAAATACATGTTTTGCTGCAACTGACTTATCTTTTAACTTTTGATTTGATACTAGTAAAGCATGCCACCCTGCATTTCTAGCTGCTTTATAATCTTTTTCAATGTCATCTCCTATGTGAAGACAAGCCCTAGGATGAACATTTTCATATGCAATTGATGCATGGTCAAAAATTTTTTTATCTGGTTTTGGACATCCAATATCAAAAGATGTTAGGACAAAATGAAATTTATTATATATATGCATATTCTGTAATATCTCAACGAGTCGAGGATCAAAATTGGAAATAACTCCTAAAGAAATACCTTGATTTCTTAACATGTTAAGTATTTTATCAGCCCCTTCTGCTAAACGCCAACATTTTGCTGTTTTGAAATCATTTATGAGTTTATCGCAAAGACAATTAACATCAGCACTTTTTGGAAGCTGACCTTTAAATGTTCTTTTTACGACATGATTCCACCAGTCTTCCCATGAAATAAGGCCTTTACCAAAGTTTGGATATTCATTCCAAACAGCTTTATAGCTTTCAAGTAAACGGGGTTTTAGATCGTTTTCAGAGCCTTTGAATCCATAATCGCGAGCGACAATCGAGTAATACTGCCAAGGATGTATACGAAATCTAAGCAATGTATTAGTTGCGTCAAATGTAATCAAATGTACACCTTTAATACACATATTCTTGCTTTATTTTTTAAGTACATGCATTAGTTTATAATAAGCACTAAATCTACACTACATATTTATTGTAATAGTATTCTGTGATTTATTAGTAGTAGATAGTGATAGTAGTGAGCACAGAACACTAATACCCTGGTAGTGAGTTCGTTGACTTCCCTATATATAATGTACTCTGTGGTTGACGTTGAGTTCGTTCTTCGTTTTTTTTAACTAGTTTTACGGCACTGGGTTCTAGCCCTTCTGAGCCTGAAGTTACAACGTATTAACTTTACGATACATTCATCAAAAATTCACTTTCACATTGATTCACAGTTTGTTTACATTTGCAGTATTGATTAATATCACGTTGTTCTTATTTTTATATATCTTGGACACCAGATATAAAGAAATATAATTGTTGGAAGAAGTTTTCATCAGCTAATAAACTTCAAAGAGTATCAGGAACTTTATCATTGTTAATATCTTGAATGGAATTAATGAGGAGTAATCTATTCAAACCAAATTGACTGCATTGAAAAACCAGATGTTTTAGGTCTCCTTTCGTGTCTCCACAATATTCACAATTTGCATTTTCTTTAATTTCCAAACGATGCAGGTGGGCTACTCTGCTATGTACAAATCTCATTCGGTTTACAGTCGTAATGAATTTTCTATTATTAATCCATTTTTTGTTGTACCAAGGAGTGACTGGCGGGCTTTTTGTATTTTATAATACCAAATTCGGCTTAGCTTTCCATTGACTCCCGTCGAGTTGGGGGTTGATACGTATTTTTACAGAAAAGTTACACTATTATAAGCACACAAACAAAGTTACAACATGCGGAAACGTGTAATTTTTGAGAAAAAAGTTATTGAAAATCAATTATTCTTGCATTGTTTATATCTAATCCTACCATAAAACTGACGCCATTTTGTAATGTCATTGGCGTCAGTAGGGATGTCGATTCTTTCCGAAAAAGGTCGAATTTTAAATCGATTTAAATCGTAAGCTGATGTATCGATTCATAAAAAATCGATTTCTAAAATATCTATATTTTTTTGTTTGCATTTATAAAAAAACATAAAAAAACATAACATAAACACTCACGCCTGTCACGCAGAGGGGTAGGCAGAGATTATGGACTTCCATTTGGCACGATCCTGACACACCTCTCTCGCTTCCTCCACATCCATATACCTACGCATACACGCTCGTCGGTTAAAGGTACTCTTGATTTGGCCCATTTTTAATATATCAGCTTACAATTCGAATCTATTTAAAAAAAATCGATATTTTTCGGAAAGAATCGACATCCCTACTGACAATAACAATAAAAAAATGGCGTCAGATTTATTGTAGGATTAGACATAAAAAATGCAAGAATAATTGATTTTCAATAACTTTTTCTCAGAAATTACGCGCTTCCGCATATTGTAACTTTGTGTGTGTGCTTATAATAGTGTAACCTTTCTGTAAAAATACGTATCAACCCCCAACTCGATAGTAGTCATTGGAAAGTCGTACCGGTAATCGACCAGATAAAAGCATATATTACATCAATGTATGAGATATCATTAAACTCAGGAACTTCATAAGGAAGTAGTTTTTTTTAAAACAAAATCATTTTTGAACTGATCAATTTAACACAAAACTGTTCAGCAATTTGTAGCCTTCTTAGTAAAAGTGGAGGAATACAACTTTCTACTTCCATTACATGGATTGGTGTAGAGCACATAGCCCCAGTTATTATACGCAACACTTTATTCTGAATTATTTCTAATCTCTTTAAAATCAATCTGTTTGCATTTAAGTATGCTAATGTGCTGTAATCAAAATGACTTCAAACTATACTTTTATAAAGCATTGATAACAACTTTGGGTCAACTCCCCAATGCACACCTGCTAATGATTTTAACACATTGACAGGCATTTTTACATAGATTATTTACATGTTCTTGGAAAGTTAGCTTCTGATCAAGCAATATACCTAAAAATTTTTTTTCTGTAACCAAGGCTGTGGTATGTTATCATATTTTACAAAATTATCACATGTATAATATTTTTTGGAAAAAATGAGAGCTCCGCTTTTACTAGGACTAATGTTTAATTTCAGCTTATTTGAATAAAAATCATGAATTTGCTCTAATGCTAAATTTAAATTGTTTATCGCTATATTTACATCTTTATTTACAGTATATACAAGGAGTTAAGATACAAATTGCAAAAAGCTTATATTTCTGTTTCTAATATATTTACTTATTAAAAATGTATATATATTAAGTATATAACAAGGGAGATATAGTAGCACCCTGCATGGTGCCTTTGTATACATTTCTAGGGCCATGTATTATGTTATTAAATTTAACATACATAGTTTGGTCATATAGCAAATTAAAAATCCATTTACATACTTTTCCAGGAATACCAATCACACAGAATATTTGCCAATATGGAAGGATCTACATTATCAAATGCACTTTATATATCAATAAATGCACAAACTGTAGTTGCATGTCTGGTAAAAGAATGATTTATATCTGAGATCAAAGAGGCAAAACTCTCTGCTGCACTTTTTCCTTTCCGGAAACCAAATTGTTGTTCAGGTAAAATATTATTTGCTTCTATGTAATAATCTAGTCTGTTTTTTAACATGTATTCAAATAATTTTCCTACACAAGAGGAAAGTGAAATTGACCTGTAGAAGTTGAAGTCATGTTCTGGTTTATCAGGCTTTAAAATAGGTATCACACATTGTGTTTTCCAAGACTTTGGAATACATTGATTGTCCCAAAGCATATTAAATATTTTTAAAATAGTTTTTTGTCCATTGCTAATAAGTTTGTATGGAATATCATCCAATCCCGGAGTGGAATCTCTCCTTGATTGGATGGCTGCAGTAAATTCATGCCAAGTAAATTCTTTCAATAGAAAAGAGCTACTGTCAGTACCTATCTGATTAAATATTGTATTTAACTTTAAAATATCTATTTCCTTTTCAGAAGGTATTGTTATGGGTGCATATTTATCTAAAAACGAAGGAATCCAATCATCATTTTTTGATGGCTTATGTACAGGTACCCTCTTAAATCTCCTAATATAATTCCAGATATAAGATATTGGAGTATATCTATTAAATGAACCACAAATTCGTCTCAACTTGTTTTCTTTTTTTTTATAGGAGAGGGGGCAAACGAGCATGCGGTTCACCTGATGGTAAGTGACTACCGCCGCCCATGAACAACCGCAACACCAGGGAATTGCAGATGCGTTGCCGGCCTTTTAAAAAGGAGTACGCTCTTTTCTTGAAGATCCCTAAGTCGCATCGGTCCGGACAAAACGCTGATGGTAATCGATTCCACAAGGAAGTCGTGTGAGGAAGAAAACATCTTCTAAATCGAACAGTGGTGGACCGCCAATCATATAGATGGTGTGGATAGTATCGAAAGTTCTGCCGCGATGTGCGTTCGTGAAATTTGGCGGCTGGGATTAATCCGAACAATTCCTCAGAGCACTCCTCGCGATAGATGCGAAAGAAAATGCAAAGGGATGCAACATCTCTTCGCAGTGCCAATGAATCGAGTCGATCGGAAAGGACTCGGTCGTCGACGATTCGAGCCGCTCTGCGCTGGATGCGGTCAAGTGGAAGGAGCTGGCACTGGGGAGTCCCTGCCCAGAGATGGGAACAGTATTCCATGTGATGCCGAACCTGCGCCTTGTAAAGTTGCAGGCGGTGTGCCGGCATGAAATACTGTCCCGCTCTGCTGAGCACGCCAAGCTTTTTAGAGGCCAATTTGGCCTTCTCTTCCAAGTGACCACGAAACTGCACGTCACTCGATATGTCGACTCCGAGGATTCCGATACTGGCTGAGGCAAGAAGAGCCTTGAAACTGAGGAGATACGACAAAGGAGTTCTTTTTAGCGGTAAACGCGCAAACTTGTGTCTTCTGAGGATTAAACTGGACTAGATTTAGTCACCCCCAATCCGAGACTTTATTCAGCAAAGACCCAACTTCAGACATAAGTTTGTTCCGTTACTCGGCGACGTGTTCCCGAGAAATATTGGCACGGCCGTTGTATAGAGCATCACCAGTGCTGTCATCCGCATTGCAATGAATGTTACCAGTTAGCAACGTATCATTGATATGCAGAAGAAACAGCGTCGGTGATAGCACACAGCCTTGTGGAACACCAGCGTTAATAGGCTTGTAGTCGGAGCATGCACCGTCTACAACGACCTTGATGCTCCGATCTGCAAGGAAGCTGGTGATCCAATCGCATAATCTCTCGGGAAGCCCATAGGAAGGGAGCTTCGAAAGAAGCGCTTTGTGCCAAACCCGATCGAAGGCCTTCGCTATGTCCAAACTAACGGCCAACGCCTTTTTCACTATTTAACCTCTTTTTGAAGGCATCAATCTTTTTATATTCTATATAATTTTCTATTGTAGGATTTAATTTGTAAAATCTTAAAGCATTTTTACTTTTCTTTACAGCTTCCGAACAGTCCGCGTCCCACCAAGGAACTGGTTTTCTCATAGCAAACACATTAGGTTTGGAAATTATAGGTATACTGTCTTCCCTTATTTCTAGAAGTGTGTTGCAGAAGTTTTCATACGTATCAAGTAAATTTGATGTATCAATTGTGAAGTTTTCAAACTTTTTTTTTTGTTTCAGCCTGGAACTTTGACCACTCTGCTTTTTTATAATTGAAACGTTCGCAAGGTTCTCCTATATCATATTTTTTAACACAAGTATATAAGTCGACTATGGTTGGATAGTGATAACTACCCATAGGATCATCATGTACATGCCAATCACATAAAGGAACTAAAGAAGGACTAACACATGAAATATCGATAGAAGATTGATTAAAATTAATGCTTCCTACTGTAGTTGGAGGTCCATTATTTAATATGCAAAGATTACATTCGCTAACATGTTATAGATATCAGTGCCTCTAGTTTTTGTTGTGAGACATCCAAAAGCAATGAGCATTTAAGTCACCTGAAAGCAAAAGTGGCGCAGGTAGACTGTTAATGATTTGTTTTAATCTTCTGATCTTAAAGCGATCTCCACTGGGTGGGGCATAGACTCATAAAATGGATATATTACCTAGACTTGTAGTAAGGGTCATAGCTACCGACTGCATATAATCATAGAACAGTGTGGGGACAACAAAATATTTGAAACTATTTTTAATTAATATTGCTACTCCTCCACGTCCATTTTTTCCATTCTGATTAATGAAATTATAGTTAGGAATGTTGATAGTTCTATTATCTCGCAGCCATGTTTCATTTAACAGGCAAATGTCTATATCATTCTCAGCTAGATAATTAATAAGCAAAGGTTTTTTATTATTAACAGATTGTATATTAAATTGTGAATTTCGAATAAATTGTTTATACATTGTTTTTAAGATTAGTAATAAGCATTTCTTTAAATACTTAATGTAGTCAGTTTACAACCTGAGTTACCCATGGCCACCAATGCTCCAATAATTGATTTCAAAATATTGTCATTTGTTATAATTTGGTCAATAAGTGTGTTATTATTATTAGTTTGGGTAGTTTCCGTCTTTGATTTGTGTACTTTAGGAGAGTCATTAGATTTAACTTGTGATGGATCTGTTTTTGAATCCATTGTATTTTTTTGTAGGCAAGGGAAATTTTCGTTATAATTGTTAAATAAATTCTGAGTTTGTTTTGTTTGTAAGACTTTAGCATAAGTAGACCTATTATATTTTTCATCAATTTTTTTTTTATTGGACAATCTCGAGAAATTGCGACACGAGGGCCACTACAACTTATGCATTTAATTACCGCATTTTCCTTACATTCAGTGTACACAAATTGAACACTGTTGCACTGATTTACAAATTTTAGCTCCGTGATTAAATTTAAAGCATTTAAAATATTCTAAAAGCGGGGCAATATACAGCTGCACCCTAAATGTATATCTTTAACAATACTCAAATATCAGTTCATATTTATCACAATACGATAATTTACCCCACACCCTCTGAGAACCCAGAATACTCCGCGAAAACCACGACATTCCAATTGCCGGACATTTAGGATCTACGCGAAGGTATAATCGAGTAAAAGAGAGGTATTTCTGGAAAAATATGCGGACAGACATCGAAATGCCAAAGTAGTAAAGCCTTAGACAAGTTAATAAATCACCTATGCAAATAACTACCACTTCCACCAAACTATTTGAACGAATCAGCCTCGACCTTGTAGGACCACTTCCAGAAGGTGGACTTAATAAACTCAAATTTATTGTTACGTTGCAGGACGACCTCACCAAATATTCCCTCGCTTACCCTATCGCTAATGCGACTGCAGAAGAGACATGTGAATGTCTAGTGCACTTTATTTCGGTCTTCGGCATCCCGAAGTCTATTTAACCGATCAAGGCACAAACTTCACCGCAGACCTATTTAAAAGAACCTGCAACTTCCTGAAAATGAAACAAATCTGGTCTTCTCCATACCATCCTCAAACGCAAGGTGCACTTGAGCGCAGTCACTCCACACTTAAGGAGTTCCTTAAATCTTATGTCAACGAAACTCATTCTGATTGGCATAATGTTTATACCGCTAGGTTGGCATATAACACATTTACTCATTCCACTACTAATTTCAAACCATACGAACTCCTCTTCGGTCAGAAGCCTTTTATCCCGGACTCAATCTACGAATTACAATCGGACCTTACATATCCAGAATATCTCAAATCCTTACACCATCGTCTAAAACTTTCACGCGAAAAAGCCTTAGAAAACATACAAAGATCTAAGGAAAGATCTAAACAATATTACGACACCCGGTCACGGCCCGTTCAGTATAAAGTTGGAGATTACGTATATCTCAAGAATCATGTGCGTCTGCGCTAAGCCTTTTCGCCTATTTGGAAAGCACCGTATAAGGTGGTAAAAATCAATGGCAGGAACACTTTGACATTACTCATAAGTAGACGTCATTTGACACATCACTATGACGAATCTAAATTAGCTCTTAGATCTGAAACGTAACCCTAGTTATATAAGTACATACTACTAATCTTAATTATATTCTATTACAGTAATTCCGCGCTGAGTCAATAATTCATTACGTCTTTGACGAACAGTCCTGGTATCTAGTTCGACTCTTTAGGTACCTTAAGTTTAGTTGATAGTTATCTTAGTGTAGTTGTCCCGTAAGATGTATCTTTTATTAGTCCACATATTCTAAATCTGCGACTTGTCCTTGATAAATCCAAACAAGTATCGCTTGGAATGTACTAATCTCTTTGAACTGTTGAATACCCGTTATAATGATATAGTTCATGACAACGAAGCGATCTTTCATCTTACGTCTCGCCAATCGAGAAGGTCTGCACTTCTAGGATTCGTAGGCACTGCATCAAAAAAGTTATTTGGCACAATGGATGAAGACGATGCCATCCGATACGACAACGCCATTACAGAGGTAGAAATAGACCAAAAGAAATTAGCCCTCCTGATGAACGAAAATATACTAGTCACTACTTCTTCGCTCAGATCTTTTAACAAAACTCTGCATAAAATTCAACTAAATGAAAACCACCTGAAAAACGCAATTGATGGACTGTCTCAAGACATCCTAAATCTAACTTACGCTTCAAAAGAATTAGGTATTAGATCTCGCATGCTGGAATTTACTTCCATGATAGAAAGTAGTCTCCTAGCCTTGTTCTTCAAAGTTGAGGACATAATTAATGCCATCATGTTTAGCAAATCTAATATCCTATATCCTACTATCCTAACACCTAAAGAACTTTACCTCGAATTGGTCGAAAACTACAGATTCTTACCCGAATCTAAACAACTCCCAGTTCCTTTAAATCTCGATAACATGCATACCTACAGAAATATCTAGTTACTTCAATAAAGAAAAAGTAGTGAATGTAATAAAAATCCCTCTCATTAACCCTATACACTTAACCAAATATCATAACTAACCTTCACTGGTCCCTCATGACAAAAATAATCCAGAGTCATATTCGACCATCATTCCATCCTCCAAATATATTGGTATAAGCAATGATAGATCAACGTATTGTAAGTTAGATAACCTAGATTATTGTAAAGTAATAAAAAAATTATCATTACCTTTGTCAAACACCAATACTGTACTCCTCTTCCGCGATGCCCTCCTGTGAAAGCGAAATTATTACAAAAGTACTTACCTCAATCCCTTCGATTTGTGAAACTAAATTTATTCATGGTCACGTTAGCATCTGGCAGCCACTACGCTATAATAGATGGTTATTTGTAATGTCTGAAAAAACTAAAATAAGTATTGAATGTTATAACTCCCAAGTTACTGAAATAGAATTTAGTGGAAATGGTATATTGTACTTACCTCCTGAATGTGTCGCCTAGTGTAAAGACACTCGTTTAACACCGCATGAAAATCGTGAAATTCAACTGAAAACTATTGTAACTAATTTTAACATTTTAAATGATACCTGTTGTAATATTGTAGCATATAATAACATTGTATCAAATGATTATGATGATCCTGAAATCCTGAAAAGGCTTAACAGTATAATTGAAAAACCACAGATTGTTTTATATCAAAAATATTATTCAGGTATCACAATTGTAATTATAGTTTTTATTATGTGCTTTATTATGTATAAGATGTATAAAACTGGCATACACAAGAAAATATTGAAATCTAAAGAAAATAAAACTCCTGAAAATAAGGACTTAGATGAATTAGATGACAGTAACCCCTCAAACATTAACACGGGACCTTCTCTTCGATTCGGCTAATTTATATTTCATTTACTATAACATAAACTTCACTTTTAAGGGTGTAGTGTGGGGCTGTTACGGTTTCCCAATGCTCGGGAAAACCCTTAATCATAGGTAATAAGTGATTATATAGATTTCCTCTAAATAGTCTTGTCATCATTTAAAGGCAGCTCTGCTTCCCGCTCCCGGGAACGAGTCAGTCTCTGCCCGACCGCTGAATCCCTAACGTCTCTGTATCGTCTCGTGTCTGCCAGTTTCGGCTCCGGGCTAATTAAAATTTGTAACCAATTCTATTTCTAAATTATACTATTTTCGTAGTGTAATAAAAGTGTTTTTTTTTAAACCTAGTTTACGAGGTCCCGTATAACAGTACGTACTTTCATCCGATAAAAGTTGTTGTATTTTAAAATTGTAATCCGACGTATCCATTATAACCGTCGCATTACCTATATCTGCGCGGAGAATCATAAGATCTGGTCTGTTGCGTAACTAGGAAACTAGAGGAAAACAAAATGCTAGCAGAATATGCAGTATAACTCAGACATTGCCTTACATCTGGCTATCTATTGTAGAAGGAAGAGTTTTACAAGAAAGTAGATGGTGTTGCGATGGGCTCACCGGTATCTCCCATTGTCGCCAATATTTTCATGGAGGACTTTGAGGAGAAAGCCCTGCTTACTGCACCAGTAACTCCAAGTTTCTACAAGCGGTACGTAGACGATACTTTCACAATTTTACCATCAGACAAAGTAACTGCATTTTTAGAACATCTTAATTCCATAAACTCTAAAATTCAATTTACTATGGAGTTAGAGGCAAATAATTCTTTAGCTTTCCTAGATGTGTTAGTCATTCGAAATCCTAATAACACCGTAGGTCACACTGTGTAGAAAAAAGACCCATACAAACCGATATTTAAACGGTGAATTCCACCATCATCCTTCACAGTTAGCTACCGTGGGCAAATCTTTGTTGCAGAGAGCACGAGGGATCTGTGACAGCAAACACCTGGCCGCCGAGCTTCAGCACGTCAAGCAGGTTCTGCACGACAACAAGCTTCGGGTTCCGCGCCTACGTCACAGTGACCGAGTGAAGCCGGCTACAGTGGAGCGTGTGCCTGCTGTACTACCATATGTCAGAGGTGTCACAGACAATTGCCTACATTTTGAAGCGTGCTTCTATTAGAAAATTATTTAAGCCGCCGAAGAAGATTAGTCAGTTCTTACCATCCGTCAAGTGCAATATTCCTCTACAAGATGCAGGAGTGTACAAGCTTGATTGTGAGTGTGGTCTCTCATATATCATCATCATCATCGTTACAGCCCTTCACAAGTCCACTGCTGAAGATAGGCCTCCCCCAAGGAATGCCACAAAGCACCGTCCTGAGCCACCTGCATCCATCGACTTCCTGCACATATCACCAGGTCATCACTCCATCTAGTGGGGGGACGCCCAACACTTCGCCTGCTGGTACGAGGCTGCCACTCGAGAACCTTTTTTCCCCATCGGTTGTCGGTTTTTCGAGCTATATGGCTGGCCCACTGCCACTTCAGCTTACTAATCCGTTGGGCTATGTCGGTCACTCTGGTTCTACTGTGGATATCCTCATTTCTGAGTTTATCACGCAGAGAAACTCCGAGCATAACCCTCTCCATAGCTCGCTGAGCGACCTTGAGATTCCTCATCCGGCCAGCAGTGAAGGACCACGTCTCTGTTCCGTATGTCATCACTGGCAACACGCACTGGTTGTACAGTATCGTTTTCAAGTTTTGAGGTATACCTGACGAGAAGATGTGCCGTAATTTCCCGAACGCTGCCCAACCCAGTTGAATCCGTCGATTGACCTCTCGGTCGAAGTTGGACTTACCTAGTCGGACTATTTGTCCCAGGTAAACATACTCGTCAATAACTTCGAGCTTAGTGCTCCCAACAACTACCGGCATAGGTGTGACATGGACATTAAACATGATCTTTGTTTTGTCCATGTTCATCTAAAGATCTATCCGTTGGGAAGCACTATTGAGGTCATTGAGCATAGTGCTTAGGTCCTCTCATAAAGGGCAAACAAAACGATCAATATAAACCCGCGTAAAAGAACACATAGCTGACGTGAAGCACCAACATTCCGGGAAGCCTGCAGTTTGTGATCATATCCTAGACGGCCCCCGCCATTACATTAGATTTGATAAACCACAAGTTCTCTCAAAAGAAGATCGATTCATGCCAAGGATGATAAGTGAGGCTATTGAAATTAAAAACCATCCTAATCTCAATAGAGAGGGAGGCTGGGTACTACCATCTGCTTGGGATCCTGTAATTCATAAAATTAAAACTAAACCCAAGGATACCACTGCAAGACTTCAAGACACTGTAAGTTCATTCTGCGTAGTTCGGACCAAAATTAATAATTAAAAGCTGAAGGTACTCCGGGTTAACTTTGACATCTGGACGTCAATCACCTCAGTCCCCCGTAACCACGGTTGCTGGAAAGCAACCGAACCGTCGGGAATATAAAATAACTTAATTAAACGCGATAAAATCCGTAAAAGTAGTTTTATTCAATGTGTAGTGTTCGCGTAAATATAAGAAATCATTATATTTATCTACGACATAAAAATAATAAATTATAATCAATTACCAATTACATAGTGGAGTAAATTTAATTTAAAAATTATATATTTTTTATGAACTCTATTTACTTTGAACAAATTACAATTTATTGCTTAAACTATTAATAATAGGTACTTATTCATAAATTTTAAATATTCCTTCTGTTATTGTTCATATACACA